CTGCATGGAATGGTACTATATAGATATAGCTGACTTTCGGTGCAAGATGTATCGCAACAGGATTTTTCAATAATTTAATTGGAAGTGAAGAAGGAATTAGGATTACCTACCGAGAGTTTGACTTATGGAAATAACATTTATAATTATATATAAATACATAATATATGATCAGTATTAAAACAGGTAGGAAACTTGGGAACGAAACAATTATAAAAGCAAACCCCTCACCGAGATAATCCCTTTTTGTGTCCTTCGTTAGCTAATACGTGCGGTGTCGGGGACCCGTTTATAAATTAACCAAATTGAAATTTTCGTAGTCCGCGTTCTATAATTAGGAGTAAAAATATTTTACTCGTAGTCGTTATACCTACGTATTAAAATAACATATATTTTAGTCTCACCCTAACTCCTAGAAGTACACCTGTAGTATACCTATAGTTATACGAAGTAATACTTACTAGTCTCTGATCATAGTTGTGACCTGCTACGTCCGAGAGATGGTTACGATTTTGAGATCTGCGTCACTCCTCCCCTTTTCATATGGTCTCGCCCACGGGCCTATTCACAAAAGTTCAAAACATTAATTTTTTTAAATTTGATTTGTGTGATGGCTGATGAATCATAAATATTGTTCTTTTTATACTATAATTCGGTCCCAGGTTTTAGTTAAATAGAATTGGCCACTATCATTATTCAATCATCAATATTGTACCTATTGTTTTTATAATTACTTATAAATACCTACATAGTACATAATAATATATACATAATATGTCTTATGAAAAGTAGGTAGGTATAGTAATGTAATTTGATTTTACCAAGATTAATACCGGATAAAAGTAAAATTAATTAGCGTAGTTGTAATTAAGCGTTTTATAATTTCAGATCGGACAACCATCTATATAGGTATCGGTAATTTTAAAAATTGTTTAGGATTGTGTGTCCCCCTTTTGGACAGGTAAAATTATGGTCACACTACATAATATTCTATACGTGACCTGAACGAATTTTAAATTCCATCCACCCCAGCAACACACATATATTATGAGTATTATAGTTTGATGAATGCGTCCGCACCACGATGACTGTGGGTGCATCGATTTATCATTATAGACTATATAGTTAATAATTTTTTTGTACTCGAGCTATGGTTATACCAAATATATACATTGTGACATTGTTTAGTATCGTTAATGTGCCATTATTAAATAAATCGCCTGCCGATGTTATAATTTTTTTCTTATTGACGTTTTAACTTTTATAACACGTTTTTACATTACCACCTATATATACCTATAATATCATATTATTCAGATTACCACATGGTAACATATTATTATAATATTAAGAGGACGTCTCACCCGCATGTGTTGTCTCCGTCTTACACACGTACGACATAGACAAAACGCGTTTAGGCAGTCTGAGTATAACTCGCTCAATTTTGGTTCTAGAGTAAAAATGCCTATTATAAAATTGAATTGTGATTATATTTCTAAGGGCAAGACGCTGCGGTTTTTCCATTATACCCAATATAACGTTCATTATATCGTTTAGAAATAGAAAAAATTTCACCATTTTTAAAATACCTTTGACTTTTAAAGAATTAAATTTTTCAAAAAAACCGCAGCGTCTTGCCCTTAGAAATATTATCACAATTCAATTTCATAATAGGTATTTTTACTCTAGAACCAAAATTGAGCGAGTTATACTCAGACTGCCTAAACGCGTTTTGTCTATGTCGTACGTGTGTAAGACGGAGACAACCATGCGGGTTAGACGTCCTCTTAATGTACCTGATAATGTATTGAAATTTGATTTTGAAACAATTCGGTACTTAATTCAAATTTTAGTAAATTATCTAATACCGTATATATTATTTTCCCATTGAAAAGCAACATAAAAATACATCTCAAATATTATCTATTATTTAGTGATATCTAGACACGCGGTAGCGTGTCAAGCCAAGTTCTAGCTAACAGAACTGGCGAGCAGCACCGTGTGTAATATTACACGAACCATTTGGAGCCACTTTTGACCCCCTCATAACTCAAAAACTATTCCACATAAACATGTCAAATTTGGCTCATATATTGAGACTAACGAGATACATATGTGCTCTAAATTTCATAAACACACTTCAAACCGTTATTTAGATATTAACGTCCGAAAATCGTCATTTTTATCACTGACTTACCTATAGATCAAAATTCTAACCCAGTTCCAGATGACCTAGAAAGTTCAAATTTGGCATACAGATAGGTAGTTAGGTAAATACAAAGGAAAAAATCAGAAACTTGAAAATTTTTAATTTAAAATTTTTTAATTTTTAATTTTTAGTTTTTTAATTTTTAATTTTTTAATCAATTGATTTTATTATAATTTTGCAATTATTTTATCTATTGTGTTTAATTTTTCAATTTATTAATGAATTGCCTCTAGTTTAATGTAATGTAATGTAATGTTGACTTAAATAACCTTTCCCGTATCGCCGCTCCAAAAATACGACTAGCCGAATATGTGTCAATATTGTCGACCCGTGCGCAGCAACATACTTTTTTTCTATCTATGTATGTAATTAATATTATTTTTTTAAATATTACAATTAAAATAATTAAATAATTATTCTTACAAATTATGAATTATCCACCCAACAGTAGAAACTACAGTCAATAAAATTATGATAATTAAAAATATACTCAAAAAGAGTTAAAATAATTGTATATTAATTTTACATATATTTTATACTCTGTATATAAAACGGAAAATATTTTATAATAAATATTATTATTAATATTAGTAACTGAATTATATTATATAGTAATAAACTTTATTTATAGAATACGTCATGGCTAGGTTAGGTTAGGTTATAATAATTTACATACAAAAAGTAATGATATCCCACCAAAAACATATATGTAAAATGAGAGCCAAGTTCAATACTATAATATATGCCTTAGTTGTTGACTTCAACGACAAAAGAAGTGAGATCTAAATGGGTGCCAAGTTAGGATAATATATTGAAGCCTAAGGTCTGACTTGGCTACGAATTATATATTATAGCATTTGCAAGTTCTAAAGCTTTGAGTTCTTATTTTATTCTTCGGAAAATCATCTTCACTCTTCCATTACTGTTTTAGTAGGTACTTATAATAATAATTCGTATATGAAAAGTAGCCAAGTCACACCTTAGGCTTCAATATATTATCCTAACTTGGCACCCATTTAGATCTCATTTCTTTTGTCGTTGAAGTCAACAACTAAGGCATATATTATAGTATTGAACTTGGCTCTCATTTTACATATATGTTTTTGGTGGGATAAATATAATTTTTAATTTGTTTTATTACTTTTGCAATATTATTTCATCTTTTTGCTCATTCAACGACCATACCTATAATATTAAAGTATTTGTATCGGTTAAGCGTTTTTATTGTTCAAATAAACAATCCGTAAAATTTTTTAAAGTATAAGTTGAATACTACTTGATTTGCACGACGACGAGAAGATAAGAACGGTAACCCAGCGGTTGCACTTTATTGTTTAATCAATAATAATATCGTAGATAGATATTATATCTGTAAAAATATCAATTAGAAAAAGGTTTGTTTTCTTAAAATATGTATCTTGGGTTCAGTGGAGTGGCGAAGTGAAATATTAAAGACTGAATTAAAAAAAAATGGTGGATCATAATATAATATGAATATTGTACTCTTACTAGTACTTATTGACAAGTACTATACATCAGCACACATTATCAACGAAAACCTCAAGTTCACGGTACCCTGCAAAGTAAAACGTTTAGGTATATGATTTTTACGTATGCATCGTGCAAAATACTTTAATGTGACATCAGTCCAGTGGTCAAAGTGGGGGGGGGAGGCAGGAGGACTATCAATCTCCCCACATCTGGAGGCGACTAAAAAGCGTCCCCTTTAACAAATTAGGATTTTATACATTTGACATAAAATTATGTATGGAACGCTTAAAACTATGTGGATACATTAGTCCCATCTGGAGTTTTTTCCCACTTTAACACCTGGAGATCACTATATAGGGACACAGAGAATATTACATAATATTATACAAAATATGTTATAATAGTCATGGCCCCGTTTCCGGTTTGTGTTTTTTTTTTAAATTATGCCAAGTGTGGTGAGTGTTACCTCACAAAAATAGAAACAATACGATTGTGCCACAAGGTTTAAAGGGAATCAGTTCAAGAAGGATTTACGAACAGGCAGGTACATCGAGGAAAGTATGGAATCGGGTGTAGGTGTGTTGTTATAATATAATAATTTGCAAACACCCGTGTGTACAGTTACAAAATCGTGAATTTATTATTAACAGAGTTTTCATTTACCAAAAATACAATAATAATATTGATGTGTTCACGTGAAGATAGTGTAGAGTATAAAAAAAAAAAAAACTTAAAAGCTAACAAAAAATTACAAAAAAGGTGTTTTTTTTTTTTAGCCATTTTCCACCACCTCGTCGTTGGGCGAGGTGGGAGAGGAGTTGCGGGCGTGACGGTGCCGAGAAACGAAATTTCTTTGCGCGAATCAAAGTCCACCGGTTTCGTTTGACGTCGGGCGGCAAACGGATCCGACGATCCTCGGTAACGTCGCGCCCCCCCTCCGGGGGCCGTTTGACCATTTCGGAGGGGAGCCTGTACAAAACTCGACGGAGAGTCATAAACACGCGTTTATTAACATAGTAATTTGATTATAACGTTGTATTCGTTTACGCACGTCATACTACAACACTAGTGCGCGAAGATACGCAATCACGTGACATCGCACGACTATATTATCGTAGTATCGTATCGTACACGAACACGACATTATTACCTAACATTTACATCCGGTTCCTAAAAACAACGTAGCAGCGAGATGGGGACTGGGGGGCAGATCGGAGTTCACGGGGATGGTTTTTTTTTTGGGGGGGGGAGGCGGTATAGAGTTTTCGTGGAAAATTTATACTTTAGCGGGCCCGTCGCTCTTTTACAAAGCGTTGGCTGCTGGCACGTTGGTGCCGGCGACGCGGAAACCGTTGACCGGGTCGGAGACGTAGTTGTAGTGTTGGACCTGTCCGTTGGCGTCAACGTACGAGTAACCTCCGCGGGTCACGCCGTCGAGGGTCTTGACTTCGGCCTTGGACGAAGATCCGCTGTTGTAACCGTACGAGTACTGACCGAACTCGTCTTGGGAGTGGTATTGGCTGTGCACCGGCGAGTACGATCCGGTGGCGAACGGGGCGGCGTAAGCGTAAGACGGGGCCGGGGCGGCGGCGTATGCGTAGGACGCGACTGGGCCGTAGGCGTAAGACGCGACCGGGGCATGGGCCGGCACGGCGGCGTACGGGTAAGCGGCGTAAGCGGCGGACGGGTGGTAACTGTACGAGGCGACGGAGGACACTGCCGGGGCTGGTGCGGCGGCGGCTAGAACGGGTGCTGGTGCGAAGTGGCTGACGTAGTCGGCGGCGGGTGCTGCGGGTGCGGCGGGTGCTGCGGGTGCGGCGGGTGCGGATGGTGCTTCGGCGGAAACCTGGACGACGGCGTCGGAGGATGGTTCGTCTTCGGCCGGTGAGGCTTCTGCGGCCTTCGCAGCCTCGTCGTAAGCGATCTGGTGAGCTGCCTTGGCGGCCGCCACTTCGGGGGTGTCTTGCACCTGCTGCGGGATCTCGGACTGCTGGAAGACGATCGGTTCGGCGACGGCTTCTGGGGCAGGGGCGGCTTCTTGGGCCGGGGCGGCGGCCTTAACCTCGATCACGGACTCGACGGCTGGGACGACGGGCACCTCGACGGCGGGGACGGCTGGAGCCACGGGCAAGTTGGTACCGGAAACGCGGTAACCGTTCTCGTCGGACACGTATTTGTATTGCTGGAGAGCGCCGTTGGGGTCGACGTACGAGTACGCACCTTCGGTCAGACCGTTGGCGTGCTTAACCTCGGATTTGCTGGAGAATCCGTCGTTGTAACCGTAGGCGTACTGTCCGTATTCGTTTTGCGTGTGGTATTGGCTCTTGATCGGGCTGACCACGGCGGCGGGGGCTGCGTAGTAACCGCTGTAGTATTGTGGACCGCTGAAGTATAGGGATGGACTGGCCGAGCACATGGCTACGAACCCAATTACAACAACCTGTGAACAAATCGAGTCGTTTAAGTAAAAGCAAACTTCAAGGGGTTGTGTGGCTTGTTCGAGTTTTTGAACAGGGGGGGGGATGATTTTTGTAATATGATCAGACCACATTACAAAAAAAATGGAACTTGCATTTCCTACAGGCTTACAATAACTTAATAGTATCATTAATCGTGTGTAATAGATAAGTATAGCTATAGTACCACCTTAAAGTAAATCAACAGGTAAATAATATGCGTTTATTAATTTATCACGTATCTTATTCGTCATCAAACAATTTAAAATATTGTTTTACATGAAATAATATTATTATAATGATTATCATAATATAATTTATTGATTAATATGAAATATTTATTTTAACAATGAATTACCTAATAAATGATATGGTATTTTCAGTGTCGACGATAAAATCCGCAATAATATATTATATGAGAAATAAAAGGAAAATGGGAGAATATTAGACACTTCCCACTGCTAGCATGTATGTTAGGTACTAACCGGTATGTACACACTATATAAAAGCACCTACACAATATATGTGTATAGGGAATTCGGACTGCGCTGTGGTGCTGAAAACGCGATCGATTTTCTCAATTATATATGACGCGACTGCAGCACAGCAATAATATATAATACATATAGTAAATTGCACTGGAGACCAGTCGGACAAAACGGTATTATATTAAATATTTTATTATAATTACTCGTACGTGTGCGGGCGACGTGCGAAATGCTCGCTGCAGTATAGTAATAGTGGCCCAGATTTACAATAATACAATATATACGCTCACAATCGCACACATCGTCGGAACTCAATCGACGGCGACGATTCGGACGTGCTAATTTCAGGGGACTCCCATTGTGGAAGCGTATATCATATATTATTATTATATATTGTCGAGGGCTTATATTAGATAGGTACCTATACCTATATAATAATATATTGTATTATTATTATTATTATTATTTAACGGCAGCACAACAGTCGGCGAGGATTGTTTACCGATATCGCGACGATGACAAACGACGGGAGTGGAAGTCGTCGTCGGACGTGCGATTCGCGATTTTCCAAAGGTCTATTATATTCCGCGAGACCGACCGGACTGCGAACACAATAATACGTAATAATATAATAATAATATGTGTACCGGTATGTCTTTGTGTCGTGTATATTGAAAAACGAATTTTTTTTTTTTTATTTCGAGTTCAACACACGCTATCGCGCACCGAATTCGCCGTTTGATGATATATATATATATATATAATATTATATATATAGGCACTCGTCTTCTCGAGATAAAGAATGAACTACACACGTAGAAAAATGTCCGACAATTATATTCTCGCCCATATCAATTATAAGTAATTTTTTTATCCGTTCCATCATGACGCTCGCTCAATAGACTGCTGCGGAGCGTGCGTGTACGTGACGGCTATTATATTATTATTTTATTAGAATATTATTATCTGATGCACATGGCCGATGTCTGCCGTTTAAGCGCCGAACAAAATTTTTTAATGGTATACATTTTTTTCCCGAGCTTTTGAGCCCCCGCGTTCCCGACAGTTATAAATGTGAGATTTCACAGCGGGTGTGTTTATATTATATGTTTATAATATCGTTAGGTCGCTTTCCAATATATAAGTTCCTATACGGTTCTATACGGTGTGACCCGCGGCTGCAGCAGCAGATCCGGACTTGCGACCTAATGCTCGTGGCATTTGGGTCGGAAACAATCGCGCTGGGGTTATAATATTATTGTTATATTTTATTTTATTCCCTTATATAATGTAATATTATCGTTTGACCGACATTCGAATCGGGACGGTACTACTGGGAAAAAATGCCATCGGACCTGCAGACGAAATTTTCGCCATCGCGTACCTACGCGGTGCTACATTATAATACCATAGTGAAAACGCCACCGTTCGTTAAAGTCTCCGAGGCTAATAATAATATATTATTATTGTTGTTGTTACAGTCGACCAATACGCGCATCCGAGTCATAATATGTTTTAATTAATCACACACATTTGCGCATACGTGCATACACGTTTCGATGTTTAATAGGACTTTCAGTTCATTCGCATTATTACACACACACACAAATAGTTTCTTCCGTCGCCACAGGCACACCGTGACAAATAGATCAATTGTCATTGTCGCATTCGTCGCGGCTGCGTCTCGTCCGAGATTCAATGGATCGGTCGTGTATATAGATGGCCGGGTCATACGATTCCACTACGGTGGCCCTTATTCTCTTGGTTCAACAAGTTATTATTGTCAATTTTTTTTCGATTTTGTATAATAGGCGTATATATATATATAATTCGAGAAAAAGATACGGACAGACATAGAAAACCGCAACAACAATAATATAATATATATTATAATGATATTATAGTATATATAATATATCATAATACGCAGGCGTAGCTACGTGTAAACGTTTTGTCATCGTCGTCGCCGTCGACGGATATAGTTTTCCAAGCTCGGATTCGACACGAAAAACCAATCCGATTCGGAAAATTTTGATCGAATTTCAAGTCGATTTAATATCGGACGAACGATAATAATATTGTTACCTAGGTACCCGACTTACTATATATAATACACTTAAACACTTTATGTCGCGGTGCTGTAGAAACACGCGATTGAATGCTGGTCGGTTAGCGGGTTTGAGGAACGCGATCTCCGCGAGGACGATCTAATATTATAATTGAATCGAATCTATCTCGAGTATAATATCTGAGTCTCGATAACAATCACGCGTTATTCATTATATTATTATACGATACCGACGGATTGGGCCCTGTGGTTTCGGATATAATATTTCAGAGCCGATTACACACGACGTGTATATATAGGTACACGATTAGGCTGTGGATAATCGTATGTATAGGCGACCGATGATGAGGCGATTCGTCACGCCACGGAACGTTCGTCCGACCTCCCAAAAAGCGCGTCAACTGCATGTTAATAGGTTATTTGTATTATTATTATATATTACACACTCGTTTAGATGTATTGCGGGATGAATGATAATCGAAAACTGCATTATAATATGTCGTTCGTTTTTTAATCGATGGCTGTAAAGAAGGACCGAAATGCTTTATTGTTGAAATTGAAAAAAAATGAAACACCAAATAATATATTACATATTGACCGCTTTAGATATTATAGGTACCTGCCTACATTCATTTCAAAGTGTAATTTATATCGTATATTTAAGTTCAAATTATGCGAACAAACAAGCTTTTTAAATGTGAATAGTTATTAATATTATTATATATTATAAATATTGATTTTTTAAATGGTTTTTTTACAAATTTACATTTTTTGTCTTATATAATTATATATCCTACTTGAAATATTTTGATTTGGTTTAAACAATTATATATATATATATTAGCTTACATTTAATTTATTGCCAATGAATAACACTACAAAAATTATAACATCCCAATAATGAATAACAGAAAAAGGCGATAACATTTTTATTTTAATAATATTCGATGCAAAAGTTATGAATTTGTTTTATAAATTTAAATTTAAATGTATTGATTTTTCAAATGTTTTCATAAAGTTACGACTAACTTAAAAATAGATTATTTATTCAAATTTAAATGAAAAAATGTCTATTCTAGTTTTGTACTAGATAATAATATGTAAATTAAAATTAAATTATGGGTATACAAAAATGTATACAATATGAAAGGCTGGTGGTTATAACTTATAAATAGAAATATTAAATTATCATATTTTACTTATTTTATTAACAGGGATATGCGTTTTAATCAAATGCTTCAGTCCGTCCGATTTGTCTACACAGTTATAATATTATGATGTGTTTTATATAAATTAACTCAAGAAGAGAACGAACGAAATGAGCAAAAAGAGGTGTTTAAAACGACAAAGAGTAAGTTTATTTTAAATATAAAGTTCAGAACGTTAAATATGTATAAATAAAATGGAAATTGTACAAACACTTTGGCACTATGCGATATACGATAGGTGAACTCGGCTTTTTCTCCAGAAATTTAAATAGATTGGTGTGTATCTAATATATTATATAAAATTTTAAGAACATATAAAATGAAATCACAGCTCAGAAAGGTCTAGAGCTCGGGCTAAGTCATTTATTTAATGGCGAATCCAAAAACTACGGGTGTGTTACAAAAATATTATTAAAACTGCTAAGACTTAAACTAATATCATACAATATTATACTATTAGGTAGTAGTTATAGTACACAACGTCTCATCAAAAATCAAAATCGATTTTAAATTATTCGGCGCGTATTATGGAAACTGCCGGGGAGACACGACGAGGGGTGCCGAAAAATATTCGTGAAATATTTTTATAATATTACAATATTTTATTATTTAAAAGCTACGTGTCGGATTATTCAAAGTGCTGACAGTGTCGGATGGACGAGAAGTCCGGCAGAGTAGTGTAGAAATACGTTAAAAATAATTAAATAATTACTATTATACCATGTGGGTATAGGTACTCACCAGTGGAGACATCATGATTTCGGATGGGTTGGTGGTGACTGTTATGGTGTTGTACTAGGCGAACGGATCGAACTCGGTCGGTTCAAGCTGCTACGGTTTGGTACGGTGCTTCGGTACGAATGGTGAGAAGAACCAGACGTCGGGCGGTTTATATACCGCGCGGAACCGTGGTAGTCGGCGCGCGGCCAATGTCATTGCCGTTGCGGCGGCGGCGGCGGCGGGTGGCATCGGACCGATTATTATTGTTCCTTTCGCCCGGGGCGGCGGCCATTAACGTCTCGCGATCGCTCGTCCCATCGCGTACGCATCGTCCTCGGCGGCCGTCCCGCAGTATCGCTACGGCGATAGCTGCTCGCTCGTCTTCCTTCGTACGGCCCGTCGTCAAGGTCGTCCGCCTGACAGCGCCTACGCCCTGCCGCCGTCACGTAACCCGATACGACGCTGCTTCTGAGCATCGTCCCGGGACGAGACCGTTTTTCGATCAATCGCGTCTGAGCAACCGTCGCGGTGCTGCGGCAGTCGTCGCGCGGTGACCGCGGAACATCACGCGCGGTTACCGTTGATCGCGTACAATATTATCTTCCCCATGCCACGTACCAGCTAACAAAATACTGTCATTGTATTGAGAAGATTGTCAGCGCACTATTTGTTTTCTCTCTCTCGCAACATAGACAAAACGCATTAACGCAGAATCATTTTTTCTATGTCTGTAAGTAATCTTAGAGTAAAATCACCCGTTAAAAAAAATATGGGGAATAATATTTTTGAGGGAATGTCATATCGATTTTATTGTTATTTAACTTTGTATTTGACTTTCAAAATAAGCAAAAAAAAATTTCGTAAATTTAAATTATGTTTAAATTGTTTTGATACAATATTTAGACGAATCGATATGTCATTTCCTCAAAAATATTATTCTCTTTCTTTTTTGTAATGGGTGATTTTGCTCTTGGATTACTTAAAAACATAGAAAAAAAGTATTCTGAGTAAATGCTTTTTGTCTATGTTGCGCGTAAGCCAGAGAGAGCAAACGAATTGTGCGCTAACATCTTTGTATAAAATTATTTTTTTGTCACGCCTGCACCGAAAGTTTAGTTTTCGACCATGGTTGAAGCGTTCGAAAGCGTCCTTTTTCCGTCCAGCGGGCGGTAAAGTGGAAATCCCCAAAAGTGCCGGGCGGAAAAGAGGAAATCCCCAAAAGTGCCGGGCGGAAAAGAGGAAATCCCCAAAAGTGCCGGGCGGAAAAGAGGAAATCCCCAAAAGTGCCGGGCGGAAAAGAAGAAATCCCCAAAAGTGCCGGCCGCCGGGAGCGTATCCCCTGCACAACCAGAAAGTAAAATGTATACCTACCACGGTTCTTACAAAACATAAACTTTTGGTTACATCTTAAATGTATAGTATAACCTCCTTGCATGACGCATAGATCCCTGCATAACCTTTTCCATGAACGCAGGGGCGTGACAAAAAATAGTATGTGTGGCTCGCGCGGGAAGGCCATTTCAGTCTTGTGCGAAATGCGGCACTCGCCTACGGCTCGTGCCGCACACGACGCCCGCGACTGAAATGGCTCACTTCCCGCCCTTGCCACACAATATACTATTTCGCTGTCATACCAGCTCGTAGCAGCATGTCGAGCAGTGTCGCGCATTTCGTATTTTTACCCATTTTCCCGGAGAGAGTACCTACAAATAACATGGCAGTTTGTTCGAGTCGACTGAGTTTTATTTTGGTTTTTTTGGTAAACGATTTTTGAAAAATTTGAAAACCTACTGGGATGGCCACGACGTCGATTGTTTTTGAAAAAAAGAAAAATGTTAACGTCGCATACATTCGTGTTCGACTCGAGATGGCCGTTCCGTAGTAATTTATTTTCAAAGTTAAAGCATTAGGTAATTCACATCACTTTAATATTACCATAATAACCGTTGATTTACCACCGCGGACGATCATGGATGAGTCGTGGATTTACTGATAAACTTGAACAAAATACATTAATACTGACTTTACTATCGATAAACGATTTTTTTTTTTTTTTTAATAATCAAAAATTATTACAGTCAGTACAGAAAATCTGGTTATTATAATGAACAAAAACTAAATATACCTATTTAATCTGTTAAAAATTAAAATGTTTTTTCTACCTTTATTTGCTTTACGCGCAGTCCTTGTGGTTTGACGACGTTTCGTCTCAGAAAATAAATAATTTTATATTTTCCATCTATTGTAAAAAATAAAATCTATACAAATCTTATTGCGAGTATTTATTAAATTACACGAAAAATTAAAAAATTTAATTTTTCAAACTAAGTACCCAAGTCAACGTAATTGTATTTAATAGTTTGAAGAAAAAAATAATAAACGTGGTGGAACAGGAACACCAGCTAATAACTTTATAAATTATATTTAACGCATTTTACGTCGAGATTTGAATAATATATAATATACATAATATTGTTATTATTTTTTTTTATCGTGATCGATATTCTAATATTACATCGTAGTAATGTGTCATTAAAACATGTTTAACCGTTGATTTACCACCGCGGACGAAAATGGATGAGTCGTGGATTTACTGATAAACTTAAACAAAATACATTAATACTGACTTTACTATCGATAAACGATTTTTTTTTTAATAATCAAAAGTTATGACGGTCAGTACAGAAAATCTGGTTATTATAATATACAAAAACTAAATATACTTAATCTGTTAAAAATTAAAATGTTTTTTCTACCTATATATGCTTTACGCGCGTCTTTGTTGTTTGACGACGTTTCATCTCAAAAACTAAATAATTATATATTTTCCAACTATTGTAAAAAATAAAATCTATACAAATCTTATTTCGAGTATTTATTAAATTACACGAAAAATTAAAAATTAAATTTTTCAAACTAAATACCTAAGTCAACGTAATTGTATTTAATAGTTTGAAGAAAAAAATAATAAACGTGGTGGAACAGGAACACCAGTTAATAACTTTATAAATTATATTTAACGCATTTTACGTCGATATTTGAATAATATATAATATACATAATATTGTTATTATTTTTTTTTTATCGTGATCGATATTTTAATATTACATCGTAGTAATGTGTCATTAAAACATGTTTAAGAGAACCCGAAATAAATCGTGTCCAGAGCACCTATAATCTATATTATACTACCTAGGTACCTATATTACAAGGCTGGACCACGGACGGTTGTCGATTTAGTTAATATTGGACTCCGGTAGACTTGTTTTTCGACGATTTTAATAATTCATCGGAGACTGAACAAAACAATTTATGTCAATATGTTTTTAATTCTACTTTTATTTTGCCAAGCGTTTAATCCATATAATATACTAAGCTATTTTTTTTCCGACTGGCTGTTATTGGTACAGAAAAAAAAGAAAAAACAATAACAAAAACAATTACGCACGTTGTATGCGCGTATAATAACATTATTATTTTATCATATTATACATATATTTTTTTGCTTAGTCTTGAGTTTTATAACATTACAACATAGAAGGTAATTTTAGTTTTTTTTATTTTTTTTTTTAGTTTTGTAAATTAATTTTAAGGTCTTTTGTATATTTTATAACCCTTGGGCCCTCTGTGAAAAATGTACGATGCGTGGTAAAAAACAATAACTTACCTAATTTAAAAAGTCTATTTTTTGTCTTAATAAACTGCTGCAGATACGGGCCCAATATACGAGTAATAATTGAATGCGCAATGATTATAATATTATGATGTGAAATATGTTTCGTAGATATAAGTTCGAAATTCGTTCTGCAAATATGTTTTATTATTAAAATGAGAGACGAATTTTAAATTCAATATTTTAACACTCTTTTTTAATATTATTATTTTTTTTTTCGACAGCGCGTGTTCACATTATTACCTGCGTAATAATTTACTCGGAATAAACACTGTTTGTGATTAATATTTGTACGTAACTTACATAAATTATTTATGTGGATTATATACATAGCAATGTTTTACATGTTGTTAACTAATTGATAGCTACAATTTCATTACTAATGTTTACTTTATAGTTTATTATACCGATAATATAATATGAAATACATAAATATTTATTTTTTATTTGGTAGTTCTAAAAATGTTGAACGGACGACACCCGGTCAAGTATGTATGTAAAGCTATTAAAAAAATATTGTACGTATGTAATACGTATTTTAAAAAATATATATTATTTATTTATTTAACAACATCGATTTAAATATTATTTAACATAAATATATAATTAATTATTCTGAAAAAATGAAAAAAGTTTTCATAAATGCATTAACGATCGTCCTAAATTAATTAACATATTATTGTTAATTACGATAAGTTGTAATTAAAAAGGTTTGTATGAATTATTATGGTTATCAAATAATCCAATAGAGTGATTGTTTTTGACAGTGAAAGGATAATAATATATTAATTTTTTTTGTGTATATTTTTAAAAAGGTTTTTTACATATTTTTTTTTAGCATGTATTTTCCTAAACGTTAGATTTAAGTCAGTACAATAATATTATAAGCCCGAAACATTTGACCATCTGCCCTCATTGTAAATTATAAATGTCATATGCAAATCGACTTAACCTTATTTTTACCATTATATAGATAATAATAAATACTAATGTACCATATAATATGTAATATATTATACGCAATACATTTTAATATTAGAGACTACTTCGATTACATTAAGCTTTATGCAACTATTGTACGGTGTATGACTAAAACTTCCGGTAATATTTAATTATAAATACTTTTGTGCAATTGCAGTACGTTAAATTATATTAGTTTTGAATATTGATCATTGGTATGTTGGACTCAAAGCATTAAAATGTTAGTTATAATAATTTGGTTACAATTTGTTTTTGAAGATATTATATTTATTTTAATATGAATACTAAATAATAATTTTATTTTAAACGATTTTAAACGACCCTTTTGTCGGATTGTAGTTAGTTTCAAATTTTAATTTAATTTTACACATTTTCAAACAACAATTATTTAAAAATACTAAGTTTTGTTTCTTTATTAATACAATAGCAACATATTATACTGAAATTAACTTACAATGTTTCCCTTTACGATCACGTTGCGATGCAAATTCCCTACACTTCGTCATAATAATATATAACTAGTCATACCAGATTAGATATAACAGAAAACATTTTTTGAAAATGAATTACAATATTAACATGTAGGTACCTATTACAGATATGTACCTAAATGATAAAGGTTAAAACAAAAATGTGTTTTGGTTGTGAATTTATATTAAAAAAAAAAATAGAAATAACAATAGAATTGTTATGAAGAATTTCACCCCGAGTATATGATTTTACGGAAAATGAATAAAATTAGGAAATTCAGATCTAGGGGGGAGTTTCTTTCGTGTAGTTAGCGTGGAAACTACCAGCAGAGAATGTCGGAATAATATATCC